CTATTTATTGCCTAATATACAGTCCAGTTGTCCCAGTAATGTCCTTGTAATATTCCCTCCTGATCTGGGATAGCATGCTGCACTTAGTTGTCATGATTCTTCAGTCTCCTTTACGTTGGAACCTCTTTTTTTTTGTATTCATCATATTGACATTTTGGAAGAGTATAAGCCAGATGTTTTATAGAATATCCCTCAGATTGGATCTGTCTCATGGTTCCTCATGACTGGATCTAGTAATGCATTTTTGACAGGAATGCTACACCATGATGTGCTGAAGCCAGCTTGTACCATCTCATGAGAGCTAATTCTCACATCTCTTTCCAACTCTGTGTTCTATGATGTTATATTGGTAGCTTGAAATCAGCCATGGTGGGAGTATTTACACTGCCGACATCAACTAATGCTACAAATCAGACTTTTCCCAACCCCCAGTTTCCAGTTGTGAAACATTTTCGTTTCACAGGATAGGTGGGGTTGTGTCCTTCTCCATGCATACCTCACGATCAGGAGGCTCATGAAGCTAATCTGCCCCACTATGGGCAATATCTCATCACAGGGTTAGGATGATATGTGTCAGCTTCCCCTTGGAAGAGTTACTGTTTTCCCTTTTGTGATTAATACGTAATCTATGGAGAGTTATTCGTGATTATGTAAATATCCTGTCCTTTTTCTCATCAAACTTTCACTCAAAAGTTGTGGGTTTTGGCTGGGCGCAGTGGCTTACAACTGTAATCCCAGCACTTTGGGAGGCCGAGGCAGGTGAATCACCTGAGGTCAGGAGTTTGAGACCAGCCTGGCCAATATGGTGAAACCTCATCCCTACTAAAAAATACAAAAATTAGCCAGGCATGGTAGCCGGCACCTGTAATCCCAGCTACTTGGGAGGCTGAAGCAGGAGAATCACTTGAACCCGGGAGGTGGAGGTTGTGGTGAGCCAAGATCGTGCCACTGCACTCCAGCCTGGGCGACAATATGAGACTCTGTCTTAAAAAAAAAAAAAAAGAAAAAGTTGTGAGTTTTTTGTTTTGTTTTGTTTTTGAGACAGGGTCTTGCTCTGTTGCCCAGGTTGAAGTGCAGTGGCATGATCACGACACACTGCAGCTTTGATATCCCAGGCTCAAGCCATCCTCCCACCTCAGCCTCCCTAGTAGTGGGAATATAGACATGAGCCACCACACCCGGCTAATTTTGCTCTTTTGTAGAGCAGGGTTTCACTATGCTACCCAGGCTGATCTCAAACTCCTGAGCTCAAGCAGTGACCCCACCTCAGCCTCCCAAAGTGCTGGGATTATGTGTGTGAGCCACTAAGCCAGACTTCAGTAGTTTTTATTTATTAAAGATTATTGCCTGAATTAGTTAGTACTAGGAGAGGTGCAATGGTAATTTTCTTTTTTTCATTTCTTCTACATTTATTTGTTGGTATTCTACAAGTTAATTTTAAAGACTTATACTTAAAATAGATCATTAGTAGTAGGCTTGGAAACAAACTGAGGTGTCCCAGTAGTTTCTCAAGTATGTCTAAATCCTAAGTATTTGTGACCACAGTATTAATATTCATTAATGTAGTGCAGGTAAGTTTCCATGCAGTACTGGTCCATATGGGAAGGGCAGAACCAGTCTTAAGAAATATTTTCCCACTCTTCTTTGAGAATGTATGTTGATAACATACAGTCCCAGCAACAGTGGAGGTAGCATTTGGATTCATTTTTCCTCAGCCTCACCTGTTTCCAGTTTTTACCAAAAACATACCTTTGGAGGATTCCTGATGAGACATTTGCACTGGAGTCACAAAAAGTTAACTAGTGCATGGTAGAGTGGAAAGAGCACTGGACAGGGAGTCCAGACTTACCATGTTCGAGGGGATTGGACATTACACTTCATCTTCCTGATCCTCATTGCCTCTCAACATCTGCAAAAAAAAAAAAAAATAGGAATCATATTTTCACTAATTTCCCTTTCAAGCCCCAAAACTGTCTTTGATTCTGTTCTCCTACTTGGCAATCAAAACCTATAATCACCTCATTAGCCTGGTGTCTTGTTCAACTGATCCAAGAAGCCAAGGACAAAAATGAAATGTCCTGTGTGGCACCTGAACCCAGTGACCTACTGATTGAATTTATAATCCAGCTAAATTAGCCATGAGGGTGTGGCACCAGGACTTGATACTGTTCATATTACCTTTGTGCATTCAGCCACATCATCTGACTCACTTCTCTGGTTCTCTCTGTTTATCCATGACAGTCATGGAAACCCACTGAAGGATCCTGTTACCTCTCTCTTTGAGGAGATCCTTCTCTCAAGTGTTGGCTTGCCCAGTACCTATAAGGTTATCTCTGTTGCCATGGTTGAGAGTAAAAGAAATGTTCCATCCTGGGCAGACAGCACTTCCAAAACAGCTTTTACACTTCAGGCTTGAAATCCTGGAGTTCTTTATAAGTCTTAATTAAATTTCACCAAATGAAATTGCAGAGAACTAGGCAAATAATGTTACACCTGATTGATGTATTGTTTAGTAAACTCCGTGAATGAGTCAAAGAACGTTGACAGTCAGTATTAGGACTCAAAATTTGTGGCCTGGGGTTTCTAGAACAGTGATTGTTCAATGGAAGGTGAGGTAGGGGCCGAGGGTTTTAAAAGAATATGGGCCTTTGCCAAAGCATGCATTCTCTTCTCTTCCTGGAACAAGATTTTGCTAGAGCCCACTCCTTCACTGCACCGTCACCCTCCTCCACCAGAACTGCATTGGGGCCACTTGTGTAGGTGGAAAAGTCCACAGGTGAGTTGGATATTTGCTCCCCACTCTTCCGGAGCTGTCTGAGCCTGGTACTTGTCTTGCTCAGTTCCTCATTTCAGCATTTTTTATACTTAATAACCCTTCTAAAGTAGAAAATTATTTGGCTGCTTCCCTAAGAATATCTGCTGTAGGTTTTTCTGTCTGCTGAACTTCCATTTACTAAATTGAGAAGATGGTGTCGGAAATATTTTTCAGGTGACTTGTGTAAGGTTCTGATGAGGCAAAGGGGGATCGTGGGATGGCAGAGGAGTTGGCAGTAATTTTCAATTCACTTTATTCATCTTTAGTGTTTTTAACATCTTAATTTTTTCTTCTCTAAGATTTTAAGACACATTTGACTTTACCTTTGCGTTCCTGCCTAATTTCAAACCCAATGATGTTTTTGAGTTCTCCTGTTAGCCGTCTTCCCTTGCCGTGAGTTTCTTTTTCTTTGAACTAAGGAATGTAGCCTTTCTAAAATTTAGTCTTGATCAACACCCACCTCACCTGTTGGATGAACCACCTCATCATCTTTCACCAGATTGGAAAAGCACCGTCTCCTGCCTGAAAGGCGGAGAGCAGTTGATTTCTACAATCAGCTTGGCTTCCCTTTGATTTTGTAATCTGTTTCTAGAGATTATGGGCGAGCTTTGAATTCCAAGGCTCTGGGCCTGTCAGCTTTTGAGGCAAAAAACTTTGAAGCAGATACTCTGTCTCAGGTTTCAGAAGGGCGGCCTGTGTGTTAGAGGATGAAATTAATTTGTTTTCATCTTGTAATATAAGGGAAACATGAATAATGATCACTGCTGGCATTGTAACACCCTGGGGGTTTTATTTGCTCATTTTATTTTATGGGTTTAAAAATATTGTTTGTTTTTTGAGAACCCTCATCAAATCACGTGGAAACCTGAGAGAAAAGCACAATCCTTTCAGAAATCCTCACTGAGCATGACTACCTCTGTGAATCTGTCTATTGTATATTTACTTTAAAATGACTTAATCTCCCCATTGATGCACTTGGTATAACTAGGAAACACTCCAGCTCAGATTCAAGAGGTGGAAGGGAGGAAGAAAGAATGCAGGGCAATTTCCAGGAATTCCATGTTCTTAAACACTATACCCTTTCAAGTACTAATTATACAGGACTTAGGCAATAATGGGGTTACATGGAATTGTTTTTGCATATGTTAAAACTTACAGGTTAACATTACCACTGAAACCTTTTTTTAAAATAAAGATCCCTCTGTACCATTCATTGTTATAATATGGTTCAGTAATAATATTTCATGTATCATCACAATTTAAAAAATATAAAGGTGCATATGAGTGTTATTGATAGAGCTATACCCTTTCTGCACATAACTATGCATCCCTACTGGGCTACAGAAAAAGGTGTTGTTGGTTTTTTTTGGTAGAGATGAGGTCTCTCTATGTTGCCCAAGCTGGTCTCAAACTCCTGGCTTCAAGTGATCCTTCTCCCTCAGTCTCCCAAAGTACTGGGATTACAGGCATGAGCCACTGTACCAAACCCTGAAAAAGCATTCTTTACCAAGGCCCAGAGCTCCAATTTTTCTTTGGGGTTTTGAATGATGAAAAAAAAAATGGAAAACTGATAGAGTTCCTCAAACTTCAATATAAATCAACAGAATTTTAGTCTTCAAAGCATTTGCTGTAACTGATTTTTAAGGCCTCACATTTTATCTATAATAGTACAAATGTGAACTCAACAATGTGTCATTTGACACAGAAGTGAATTTATATTTTTAATAATATTTGCATTGTGTGTATACTGAAATAACTGTACTATAACACAAGGGAAAAAATAATTATCCCAGGAAAACACTCAACAAATGAATCTAGGAAAATCTGCAGGGTGCTTAAAAATGAACTTGCAGAGATAAAAATTTTTCATTTAGTTTTCTGAATGTTTAGCCTCAAAGTCATTCCCATTTCTTCCTGAATACTGCTCTCTAAACATAAACCCTCACCAGAGCTATTTAAAATAGACACACACACACACACACACACACACACACACACACAGAGTGGTTTCCCCTTAACCCTCAATGAGTCTCTCCACACCCCCCACTTTCCCCTGCAATGGTATGATCTGCATTTGATCGAAAACTGAAGGTGCCAAGCTGTGACAGCTTCCTCAACTTCAGAGTCATTTGCTACAACCTAGGATAGCCCCATGTTCAATGATGCTTTCCTTTTCCACCAACAGGGGCAAATCGAAGTAGACAGCGAAACCATCTTCAAGTTAGCCGCGTTTGTTTTACAGGTAAGATTGGACAAACTGCCTCTTAGCAGCTCCCTTGTGTTTGTTCGTTTTTGTTAACTGCCTGCAACTCTGAAACTTTTGCATGGGCCAGTGTCTGCTGGATTTTTAAGCCAGTTAGTTGTTTGCTGATGAAAACTGTGAGCCACCGTCTTCTGCTTTCGAATAGTTTGCATGAGCTACAATGTGATCTTGTGAGTCTCAAAGAAAAATGAGATTTAGCCTGCTCTGAAGGAAAAGAGTTAAACTCATATTCCTGGAAGAGAGCTCTGGGATACTTGAGGGAGCAGTTGTTACAACAGCTGTAATTTTCATATAAATTTAGTAACTTTTGTATACATTTTCTTGTGGTCCAGTAAAAGAGCCTTTTAGTTCTTAAAGGCGTTAGTCTGTTTCCATGCTGGTTTAAAAAGTAAAGGGAAAACAAATAGTATATGTTTGTTTACCTGTATTGTGGTTTAAAAGGTCTTCCTCCAGTCTAAAAAGTGTGCCACTTGAATGAAAAGCATTTATCATGTGATCTTAAAAACGTACCGTGAGAAATAATTATTTGTGCTTTTTCACATATAGATGTTTCTTTTGTTAAGAATAAGGAATATTCCTAACAGGACAGTCAGCGTTTTCTTATCAGTGCCTAATTCTTATGGCTGTAGGGAGAGCGGTCCTGAGAAACACTCTTCCGAACAAAACTTAGGAACTTTAAGAGGCGAAGTAATCAAGATAAAACTCATTTAGCTTAACAAAAATACATATTGATCAACTCCATTTGTTTTTGTTTGTTTGTTTTTAGGAAGCCAAGGGAGATTATACCAGGTAATGATTTTCTTTTCTGATATTACTATGCAAAATTACCCTAAAGAATCATTTTATGTTGTTATTTTAAATAACAATGGATACAAAATCAAAGGAAAGTAGAACTCTGAGGCAGGAGACTGAGATCTCTTCGCTCCTCAAATAAAGACCTATTCTTTTTGTGAATGAATCAGGGAATGACGCTTTCTTACAGTTTTTCAAGCCAGAATGCCAGCGAATTGTAACCAGAAGCTCTCCAAAGTTCTGTTTTCTGTCATCTGTTAATTAGTGAGATGAAGAAATCTATAAAAAGCTTTGATAGCTTATGCTGATTTAAAAAAAAAAAAACTTACAATAATCTTGTATTCGAAGAGTTATAATGTATGCACAAAAAGATTAAATCCATCAGCTGCTTAGTTAAGGGATTAATAGGGGCTTTCTTTCGCAGCTGCCCCAGAGGGGCCTCACCCTTCATACACTTGACCTAACAGTTGTATTGTTGCTGCGGAGACACTCACTGGTTCTAACTGCCTCACTGGCCACATCCACAGAGAGTGTTTATATTTGAATTCACCCTCTACCTGCTCCATTCTGTCCTTTTAGTGCAATCGTTGGAGTTGTAGAAACAGTTAAAGGGTGGAGGCAACGCTTCCCTTTGTAGGCCAGTGACCCCTTTGAAAGCCCGGCCTCTACGATGTTAATGTTCGACTCCTGGTAGACGTTTACTCGTAGATTATTTACAGATCGCCTAGCACTCATTCCCAGCCAAGTCTTTGAATAATGCGCCCCTTAACGGACTAACACAATAATGCCTTCCAAGCTTGAAAACTTCCAGTTACGGAGTTGTACTTCACTTCAGAAACTCCCAACACTCTTGTCATCTGCCCATTCGGCTTTGGTAGAATGTTCAAGGATGCCACTTAAAACACCATAAATCCTCACCACAATCTCCCACCAGTTCTGGTTTGTGCTTTCTCTCTCTCTGTCTCCCTCCCTGTGTGTGTATTTACATTTTTCTAGGTTAAGAAATTTGAAGAAATCATGAAAATCAAACACCAATTGTTTTTAATGGAAAGAAAAGGGCAGGAGATTAAAAAAAAAAAAAAAGAGGATAAAGTAGTTTATAGACCATTAGTATCATTAAAGGCTCACGCCTGAGGCTGGGCATGGTGGCTCACACCTGTAATCCCAGCACTTTGGGAGGCCGAGGAGGAAGGATCACTTGAGGCCAGGAGTTCCAGACCAGCCTGGCCAACATGGTGAAACCCTGTCTGTACTACACATATAAAAATTAGCTGGGCAAGGTAGCAGGCACCTGTAATCCCAGCCACCCAGGAGGCTAAGGCAGGAGAATTGCTTGAATCTGGGAGGCGAAGGTTGCAGAGATTGCACCACTGCACTCCAGCCTGGGTGATGGAGTGAGACTCAAAAAAAAAAAAAAAAAGCTACTGTGTCTCTACTCTTGTCTTTCCCAGAAAAACCACGTTTCCTGGGAATATCAGATATGCAAGGAACACAGTCATTTATGGGGGTGATTTTTAAAAAACAACTCTAGGTAAGAAATCATGTGGGGGGGTGATGATAAAGTCAATTTGTAAATGAGGGTTTCAGGGCCCAAAAGCTCACACTCAATCATCTATGGATTGCTAACCCACCTTCCCCACTTAGCCCTTCAAGCCTGTGACTGACGCCCTCTGAGCCTCAGTTTCCTCATCAGTAAAATGGTACCTTTCCCATAAAATTGTCATGAGAATCAAATGTATGTAAACGTTGCTCAGGGCAACATCTGGCTTACAGCAAATAATCTACACCCTTGGGCTACTATTATTAATTTAGTTATTATTATCCTCATTATTACTATCATCCTGTCTGGTCTCTTAGCTACCTCTGATGAGATTTTTGAGACTAAGGTTGTTCTGAAGAAGCTATAATAACCTATAGTTGTGGGGGAGGTGGAGAATAGAAAGAGAATGGTTAATTTCACGAACCTTCCTTAGGGAAGATCCCTTGCCTGAGGCAAAGGAAGGCCTAAAAGGGACAGTCCTTCAGTTGTTCAAATATTTTAGCCCTAGGCCATCAAGGTTGGCAAGTTAATTCTGGGCAAGCCCAGTCCAGGCCTTTGCCTTCACTTGAGCTTGTTTCTGGTGGTTTTCCTGAGTGATTATGGGGTTGAAGTGGCGCACACTGTTTTGAAATTGTCCAAACTATGCTAAGTAGTGGAGAGAGTGTGGGATTGGAAATCACGTAGACTGGCAGCATCCCTCTGAGTGGCCACTTATCCTTTCTGAACCTCGGTTCCCTCATCTATAAGTTGGGGTTAATCAAAACAATGGCTTTGCAGGTTGGTTTTGAGGAGATATGGGAGCACTTCGTAAATTACCATGCTCTCCCTATCTGATCTTCTCCTCCCCGGAATAGAGAGGATATGTTTTTCCTCCAAAGTTTTGTTCTAAAACTCCTCTTTGTTTTTGTTTTTGTTTTGTTTTGTTTTGCTTTGTTTTGTTTTTGTTTATTTTTGAGACAGAGCATTGTTCTGTCACCCAGGCTGGTGTGCAGTGGCATGATCTCAGCTCACTATAACCTCCACCTCCTGGCTCCCTCAGTTCTTTCATCTCAGCCTCCTGAGCGGCTGGGACTACAGGTACACACCATCACACCTGGCTAATTTTTGTATTTTTTGTAGAAACAGGGATTCACTATGTTACCCAGGCTGGTCTCAAACTCCTGGGCTCAGCTGATCTGCCTATGTTGGCTTCCCAAAGTGCTAGGATTACAGGCGCAAGCCACCGCACCCTGCCTTGTTATAAAACTCTTCTGAGAAAATCAGGCACCTGGCGCCAGGTGCAGTGGCTCATGCCTGTAATCCCAGCACTTTGGGAGGCCAAGGCAGGTGGATCACCTGAGGTCAGGAGTTTGAGACCAAACTGACCAACATGGAGAAACCCTGTCTCTACTAAAAATACAAAATTAGCTGGGCATGGTGGTACATGCCAGTAATCCCAGCTACTTGGGAGACTAAAGCAGGAGAATCGCTTGAACCCAGGAGGCAGAGGTTGCGGTGAGCTGAGATTGCGCCATTGCATTTCAACCTGGGCAACAAGAGTGAAACTGTCTAAAAAAAAAAAAAAAATTAGCCTGGCATGGTCACACACACCTGTAGTCCCAGCTCCTTGGAAGGCTGAGGTGAAAGAATCACTTGAACCCATAGGGTGGAGGTTGTAGTGAGCCAAGATGGTGCTACTGCACTCCATCCTGGATGACAGAGTGAGACTGTGTCACAAAAAAAAAAAGAAAAGAAAAAAGGAAAAGAAAATCAGGCAAGGCCAGGTGCACTCCTGTAATCCCAGCATTTTAGGAGGCCGAGATGGGCGGATCACTTGAGGCCAGGAGTTTGAGATCAGCCTGGCCAACATGGCAAAACCTTGTCTCTACTAAAAATACAAAAGTTAGCTGTGCATGGCGGCACACACCTGTAATACCAGCTACTGGGGAGGCTGAGACACAAGAATTGCTTGAACCTGGTGGTGGAGGTTGCGGTGAGCTAGAGATCACGCCACTGCACTCCAGCCTGCACAACAGAGCAAAACTCTGTCTCAACAAATAAAAATAAAAAACCCAAAAAGAAAGTCAGGCAAAATAAAATACCATGAGGCAATATTGTAGTGGTTAGAGCAAAGACTGTGGAACCAGACAGCCTGATTCAAATGCCAGGTCGGCTACTTATTACCTGTGTAATCTTGAACAAATTATTTTAAATCTCCAAGCCTCAGTTTCCTCTGAAAAATGGGACTTACAATTATAATACACACTCCATAGGATTGTTGTGAGGATTAAATGAATTAATATTGCATTTGTAAAGTACTTAGAACAGTTCCTGCAATCCATTTTATTTTACCAAATTGATGGACATGATGGACTCCCCTATTGTTACAAATATTACTTGTTTCCTATATAATGGGAAAAAAGATGTTCATCATGGTGTTATTTATATTAGCTTTTTTCCCCCATAAAGCTAATATAAAATATGCTGTGATGAACATCTGTGTGTATTTATTTTTAGTCTTGCTCTGTCACCCAGGCTGGAGTGCAGCTCACTGCAACCTCCACCTCCTGGGTTCAAGCAGTTATCCTGCCTCAGCCTCCCAAGTAACTGGGATTATAGGCACATACCGCCATACCCAGCTAATTTTTGTATTTTTAGTAGAGATGAGGTTTCACCATGTTGGCCAGGCTGGTCTCAAACTCCTGACCTCAGTGATCTGCCTGCCTCAGCTTCCCAAAATGCTGGGATTTTTTTTTTTTTTTTTGAGACAGAGTCTCGCTCTGTCGCTCAGGCTGAAGTGCAATGGCGCCATCTTGGCTCACTGCAACCTCCGCCTCCTGGGTTCAAGCGATTCTCCTGCTTTAGCCTCCCAAGCAGCTGAGACTACAGGCATTGAGACTCTGTCTCAAAAAACATAATAAATAAATAAATAAATGTGGACCAAAATATGTACCCAAATACCTTCCTAGGCAAAGTGACTTTTTCAGTAAAAACAATGACTGAACACCTAATTCTTAAGGCTGCTCTAGTCCACTCCTTGTGAATATCTACCTCTTTCTTGAGCATTTCCAAAGCTGACCTCACCAACAGCCCAGCCTCCAAACCAGCTCCTCTTCCACTGTCTCCCTTTGAATTACAGCTCCATTCTCTCTTGAATGCTCTCTGAGATTTCCCCTTTCCCTTCCCATCTTTTTTCCACCTGTCAGATAGCTCCCTCCTTTCCTTCTGTTGATCAGCACCACAACTTTCTCAGTCCTCATTCCCTCCCATTCAGCCTGACTGTAAAAGTGTGTGTGTGTGTGTGAATTATGTGTTGAGCTAATAATTGAGTATTACAGTGTTATTTTATGTATTATTTTTTGAGATGGAGTCTTACTCTGTCGCCCAGGCTGGAGTGCAGTGGTGTGATCTCAGCTCACAGCAACCTCCACCTCCCGGGTTCAAGAAATTCTCATACCTCAGCCTCCCGAGTAGCTTG